GTTCCACTGATAAACAAACAAGGTGCATGGAACCATTCTTCACAGCCATCACAACCCAATGCCTTATCCGAATCCCCCACAACACTCCTACACACGGGACAATTATAACAGATATCATTTTCCTCGTCAGGAGCATCAATGATCTGCTGGTTCTCTACATTATCCCTATATTTCTGACAAACCCACCGTTCACTGTCCACTGGTGCCGACTTGCCAAGACATTTAGGATGGAAAAATGTCTTACAGGAATCATGGAAAGTACAATTGGTTAGTTTTTTACAGTGTCTTTGCACATAGAATTTACATAGGGAAAGGTCAATCAAGCAATATTTAATACATTCAATTAAATAGAGTGATGCAATTGGCAGAGCACAATCATAGATCATGAGCAATAAATATGACGAAAAAACTATCCTGCACCACGCTTACTCGGAAGCAGGCACTTTGTCATCTCATCTATCCCTCATAACTCCTCTACTCAGGGATCAGGTTGAAGGAGACACTTGATATAGGGGCGGTCCTTGCCTTTACATACACTTCTTACTGCAACTAGCATACTCCTCATGATATCCATGCTCATTGCTCAGGCGTGTCCTTATGTTACACATCACCTTGCTGTATTCCTCCTTCTTTTTCAACACAGCAAGTCTCCAAATGAAATGCTTGGCCTCAGGGACCATTCCTCATTTAGTGGTAAATACAAGGGGGACAAATTACCCTTTCTCCAGTTCAAGTTGTAGCACTCGGTTCATATACTCGTTTTTTTCTCGCCCTCTTGCAGGGTGTAATTTTTCTCGCCCTCTTGCAGGGTGTATAAAGCTGTGGTATGTTCTTTGACAGAGATTTAGGGTTGAAGATACACATGTCAAAGAAAGTCCTCTCAAACATGATCCACACTTCTCTTCCTGAGGTATCAAGCCTGGCCTTATTATATATATATATAAGCAATGTTACTCTTTTGTTGGAAGTAGGTTGATCACCAGCCTAAGATATTCGGCCTAGAATATGCCCCTAGAATTTTATTATAATTCATAAATGTTTATAGAAATATTTATGATAACATGTCATGATGTTTGTGTTACTATTATTTGATTTGATATGATTTTTATATAGGACCTAAAGGAACATTTTTGAACACATCAAAAATTTTAAAAACACAGATGAGTTTTGAATACAAATGAAATCAAATCAAAACATAATGATACATAAGATTATCACAAGTATTCTTAAACATTAAAAATCTATATTATAATTCGAAAGATTATGTCTGTATATACGACCGCTCACGTGCAAATCTGATGATGATGAAAATCTTTAAAAATAACCGGCTACAATGAGCATTTTATTAACAATAAATAGTGGATATCAAAAACTTTAATTCCAACAGACAATTATAGAAACCCACCTAACAAATTCTACCCTGCTAAAAAGTTTTAAAAACATCAATAGTTTCATATAAAATTTAAGATCTAAACAGTTACTACACTTCAAAATACCATTAAAACTATTCATGGAACAAAATGATTGACTTTACCAGTCTCTAGACGTTTCAAAATGAAACTTAGGTGGAAATGCAGTTACAACAGGACACTGATTCTCAATTAAATAGTAAAACAAATTTTTTAGTAAAACAAATTTTATTAAATACCCACAATCAAAAAATATTTAGCTCAAATATTTAAAGTCAAAATAACCATTTCACATAAGTGGTTTTATTAAAATAAAATAATTTGTGATAAATTGATAAATTAATTTACACTCAAAAATGTACAAAATATACACAATTTTATTACACGAAAAAGTTTGGTTTGCATTTACTAACTACGTTACAGTGTACAGCGTACATAAAAGATAACTTACCGAATCTTTTATATACTAAATACATATTAATTCAGATGTTGTTAGCCACAAAAATGTTCAAATTATGTAGGAGGGTAAAGGACACAATTTTTAGTAATGCTTCTTTGTGCCCGTTGACTGATTACTGGGCCGCGCTCAGCCTGTCATTCCGCCTAATCTCTATGTTTATGAACATGATAGCCTGAGGTCCCCAGGTAAGTTGACTGAATGAATGAAGAGCCCTTGCTCTATCCAGAGCCCAAAGCGCACGCCTCCCCTTTCTTTACTTGTGAAACAAGTGCGCCCGCGGCGGCGCGAAAGCACATGGTTAGGTGAAATCTAACTCTAACCCTAACGAGAAATTATACCAACTTCTTTATATGGTCATATCACGTGATCGAGAAAATACATCGATTCAAGTTGGTTTCAATTCGATTAATGATGTCAATCCATCAAAATCAAAGATTTTCGATGCGAAGCAAATAAAAGAAAATGTCAACATTTTTTTCGTTACCTGAGGACCCCAGGCTTTAATGTTGTTAAACAACAATAGAGATTAGGCGGAATGACAGGCTGAGCGCTGCCCAGTAATTTTTTCTATCCTGTAGAAATACGCTATGTTACCGTTTGCGATAGCTGTTTCTTTGGTTGTGTCAAAAAAGGTTTATTTACGATAATTACTCTTTCATAGTTAATAATGAAGCTATCTAGTAGTCAGTAGTACATGAGTCTAGTTATAGAGGAATTTTTTTTCCTTTGAATCAATCAAACTAGATGAATTGTTGTAAATACTGAGATCAAACTATCAATCTACAGTGTACAGGCTATCGTCAAACATGTTACCTGAGGACCCCATGCTTTAATGCTGTTAAACAACGAATAGAGATTAGGCGGAATAGAGATTAGGCGGAATGACAGGCTGAGCGCGGCCCAGTAACAAACATGTTGCAAGGCGTCATCTTCAGTGACATAAGCCCTAGAAATTGTAAAAAGTTAGTAAAACCAAAAATTCCTTTAAAAATCTGAACACTCTTAAAACGGTTATAAACATAAACAATAAAATTAAGATGTTAGGAGTAAGGGAAGGCCAAAAGGATTTATAGTGTTAATTCCCAAAGGTTTTAAAGTCTTGAGTAGTTGGATATATTTATGTTCACGGACTTCCGAAGTTTTAGGACTAGAATTATCAATAATTGACACATTAAAATTTTTGTTAAAATCCTCCCTTTGTCTAAAACCATGATCCAACAAATGTAAGCCCAAACTATATTCATCACTTGTTTCATCTACCTTATCACCATTTAAAAGTTTATAATATTTGACCCTATGTTCTCCAGTCCTAACCCGTAGAGAGCGAGTTGTGCGACCGACGTAAGCCTTTCCACAGACACTACTTTGGAACAGATAAATGATGTTGTAACTCAGGCAGTTTCCAGGGGAAGCTTTAACCTTCTTGCCGTTCACTTTGAATTCAAGGCTGCCTTTGACAAATTCGCAGCATTTGCATCTTGGCATATGGCATTTGCTGGTTGGGCCATGTTTAGCTCCTAAAGCAAGTTCTTTCAATTTGACGAGGCGAGATTTTAGGCTTGGCCCTGTTTTCTTAGTGTAACTGAAAATTTTCTTCCTAGGCGTGGCAGGTGTTGAGAAGGTCTCTTGGGATGTTTCAACAGTGTCACTTTCACTGAAACTCCTCGTTCTTGAGTATAGTTATACATTACTTTAACATATTTTATTGATCTGAGGTGTAGTACTGACAGATTCCAGTTCAATTTGTAATAACAGCTATAATTTTAATCATTGAATCAGTATTTTTATCTGTGCTCTGCGAATGCATCACATGAATCAGTTTTTTAATCTATTAACTTATTACACATTTGTGCTCTGCTTTAGCATCACTTGACTATTTTAAAAAAATTGTTTGTTCAGGCCATGACCTTATAGTCAGCCAATTGGCCATTGCTATATTATGTGTATATTGTTTGAATATTCTTTTGTTCATTTGTAATGGAGTTTTATATTAGCAGGAAAGGATGTAACAGAGTCAATATATTTTAATGTTGCTATGGGGTTAGGTGGCAACTCCCCGTACATCGTAGTCCGATAGTTTCACAGTGTCGTAATATATTCTTAAATTATGTAAAGTAAACTTAAAACGAGCAAATTACGATAGCAGCTCTGACATGTAATGTGCTATATGTACAAAGTCAATTAAATGGTGCTGACAGACGACAACCGATATTGTTTTTCATATCGTTTCCATGTACAGTATAAGCGATGATTTCAAACTGTCAGGAACTTTTCATGTATGTAGCAGGAGACATACACTCACATGAAAAACAAGCGCTTAAAAGTCAGTAACCATACGTTGGCCTTAATAGCACTCTATTAACAGTTCTTGACTCATTTGAATGTCCTGCACAACAGATCGAAGCATCTTTAAATTATTTACTTTTTTTTTTTTATTGCTGTGTAAATTTGGTTCTAATTCTAATTCTAATTCTAATAGCTCAGTCACTGAGTGCGCAATTGAAATAATTCTTTCTGGTATGACTTACTACCATCACTGGTTAGAGGAATTTGTCAACTCGAAAAATATTTGTGTTCATTTTTTCAAATGAGTAGTGACATTATACCATCTGCAAAGTTACAGGTCTCAAATATGAAACACGGAGGTGGTATAAGACCCAATGTATGTGCACTGACTTTTGGCCCCCCTTGTACTTGTAGTAAAAATTGGATCAATCTTTGGATCAATCTTGAAAGTTGAAACCCCCTTGAAAATTTAATGGTCCATTGAAGATAATTTTCAACAGTCTTAGCGATTACAGCAGCAGGTTAGAAATTCTGAATTTAACTAGTAGTTTGTTAGTAGATAATGGATCAAATATTTTCAATATTAGTAGATCAGGAATGAATATTGTCTCAAAGATAAAGTGCAATAAAAAAGCTCTGCACTCTCCCACATCATCATGGCCCTATGAAACGTCTTCTAAAACTTTAAAGTATCAATTTGGAGAACCTGTAGAAATATTTTGATAAACTTACTATAAATGATTTGAAAAAAAATGTTGTTTTATTCCTGACTTATTTATAGTAGTAGTAAATACTGTGTTTCGTTTCGTTTCGTATAAGACTAAACAATTCCTCTCCTCAGGAATCAGGATGCTCTTGTATATAATAATCAGTGCGTTGTTTATTTCTGCCAATGCAAACACCCTGAATGAAAACATTTATACATCAGTAGACTTTGGCAATGTTCACAGTTTTCGAATGAACAATTTCAATTCTCAAGTTGGCTGTCAAACAAGTAGAGATGGCGATGATGGTGTTCTTTATCAGTTTGAATCAGTGGAAGATGTAGAAAATAACCTCCAGAATCTTGAAGAACCCCTCATTCCTGTAATTAGTGGATCTATCTTTAATAACATCACTGCATCATTGTTTTTGAAGCATTCAAAGACTAGAGGATTACTTGTGCTAGAAGATGATGAGATAGAAGTAGGCTCATACTCACCCGAAAAAGCGTGTCCTGGAAATGGGTTCAACCTTAAAGAAAATGCTGAAGAAGTTGCTCCTCGTCAATGTCTGAGTAAAAACATCTGGAATCCAGATGGGAACTGGCTCTCATACTATGACTTTCCCTTTGGAGTATTTATCATCAAATCTAAGTCTCAGAAAGAGGTTATTATCAGCAAGGCCAAAGCAAACAAAGAAAACAGTTTACTCAAGTCCTATCCATTGTGGGGTGGGGAAGTTAAAGCTTTTATGAATTCAGCACAAAACACAGATACATGCATGAGGCGTGGAACATGTGATCCCATCGGTGGAGTGAATATAAATGTTAACATTATTCCCAAAACCGAGGATGACAAACGACCAATTATCCTATTTGTCACAAAAGCTGATGCAACTGCTTATTTTAAAGACCTTAGTTTCGGAGGAAAAGACAGTGGAGCAAGTGTAGCATTGCTGTTGGGTGTTGTTAAAGCGCTCTCCAATGTTCGTGACAATGACAAAAATAACGACTTTAACAGTATTTTGAAATCAGATTTCATGGTAACCTTCCTTCAAGGGGAAAGTTTTGACTACAGTGGATCTCAAAGATTGGCATATCAGTTGAAAAACAAACAATATGGGATGAAAGCTTACAACATCTCTCTAGATGACGTTAAATGTATAATCGAGATTGGTCCTATCAGTATTTCTAACGAACTCTACCTTCATTCCACCCAACCTGACAGTGACGAAACTGTAAAAGAAATTCAAGATTTGTTTACCAAGTACACTGAATCTACAGACTTCCAGTTCAAAATTAGACGAGGAATGCCACCTGCCTCAATAAACAGCTTTCTCCGAGAAGACGAAACCAAATCAAGTGTTCTGCTTACAGATGGAGATACTGAGCTGCTATCACACGTGTTTGGTAGCAGATATGATATTTTAGATAATAACAAAGCATTAACAACCAAAGTAAAAAATCTGATAAAAATAATTGGAAATGTTGCCCTGCAGCTGGCAGGAGGAAAAGAGTCACCTCAAGTTGAAGTTGAAGAAAGTCTTGTTGGTGAGATCTTGGATTGCATCCTTGTTAATCAAAACTGCACTCTCCTTCAACGTCTTAGGCCCAAAACCTATCAGTTACATGATGGGAGACTGAATAGGTACTCAAGTGTGGGACAGAGATCCAACTACAGCACATCTTTACAGCTCCTGGCTCAAGAACTAAGCAAGAAGGAGTTTGACTTGACAAAAGAAAAGTGCAATGCCACCTTCATGAGCCCATGGGTCCCTTATTTGCCCCCTTATTTGCTCGATGACACATGCTATGGTATAATTATTAATCGGACTACTGCTCAATCTCCTGCTTTCAAACTGAAAGAGTACAACAGCACAAAATATTCAACATGGACTGAAAGTCGTTGGTCCCCCAACTTCCAAGTCCGTTTATTCCTAATGGCCTCTACATCGGAGAATACCACTATGGGTTGTTGTGGACTTGTGTACTTTGTTGTAATGTCAGCCCTTATATTTCAGTGCCATCGGAGAAGTGATCAGATTTTTCCATCGGCAAGTTAGATGTCAATCATTTGAACTTAATATTTGATTTGTTTTATAAAATTATTCATTTCAAATTTTGCTACCACAACTAGCATAACACAATATTCTTAGTTTAGATACTCTCAAGTGCAGGCGCAATTTTAAAACACTTAGATCTTTTAGTTTGCTGGCACATTTTCAAGATAATGATTTATCGTTGGGTGAATATTTATTTTTTTAATCATCGCTGGCTTTTTCCGTCCACGAATTTGATAGCTGGTTTGAGAGCTATACGCTATACAGGGATGCAGTTAATTTTGAATTTAACTTTCCGCTTAGTCGTGAATAAATATCGATTGGAAGTGGTTACAATGTTTTACCGTAATAGTATGATGGTTATTTTACGGTTCTAGTCATTATGCTGAAGGTTTGGAAACACAGGTAGGATCAAAGTTCACAAAAGGTTGAACAAATAAACGCTTAATGAAATAGTGCAAGTAATCATGCAATTCAACAACTGATTCCGTTTTAATTAATATTTGAAATATTTGATTGATCAAATTATCTGATCTGAGTCAAAACAGACACCCGAGTCGGGTGTCTGTTTTGACTCAGCCCCCGTATCTTCATACCAGAAAATACACTCGGGCTGGGATATCCAGAGCACTTTTGATTTCATAAGTTCTGTAGTATCAAGAGATTTATAAGACAATTAGCTAGACTTGTTCTGTTATTTCTGTAACAGTGCTGACTTTTCTTCACAGATAATCAGATAGCCAAATTATATAATTGATGTAACAAAAGTGCGTGGTAATTTTTAGTATTTGTTGAACATTATTTTGTAATTATCTTGTTATGTTTTAAGTATTTTGTTAGCAAACAAAATTTGTATCAATTGCCTACCGTCAAACATTCTAACTACAAGCTGAACCCAGTATCTCTTCCATATTTTCTAAAGTTTGAGCGCATGTGACTACATATTTTTGGAAGTTTGAGCATAAAACCTTTTGGATAGTAATATAATGCAGTTTTTGTGGAGCAGAAGTACTAATGATCCCTCTACAGGATGTAAAGCAGAAATCGTCAGATCCTCATGTCTTTCCTACAAAAGAGTGGTAAACAGAGTAGGGTATGCTAAGTGTAGGGTGACACGCACCAACTTACTTTATACAGGTTCGTTACTAAGATACTTCCCTCCGTTACTTACAGTGATAATATCAAGAACTTGGTGGTAATACCATCTACAGTTTTAAAAACAATTAATTAAGTTTATTAAGTAGAATTAAGAAGCTCCTCTCTCCTCACCAGATCATGGGATCATGTTGTTCGCGACAGAAGAAGACCACGAGGAAGGGTAAAGTGGTTTACGAGTACGACAAAGTACCGGACAGTTTCCACTCCCCCGACTCTCCCGACAAAGTTAACCAACATCTTCACATACAGCACATCAGCGAACGAGATGGTTTGTTGTTTATATAATTAAAAAACCAGGGAGGGGGGCCGAGGGGTCATCGCTGGCTTTTTCCGTTCCACGAATTTGATAGCTGGTTTAGAGAGCTATACGCTATCCAGGGATGCAGTTCATTTTGAATTTAACTTACCGCTTAGTGCTTTTTTTTTTTTTTTTTGTTTTTTTTATTTTTTTTTTTTTGTTTTCCTTTTTTTTTTTTTTTTTTTTTTTTTTTTTTTTTTTTCTTTTATTTTTTTTTTTTTTTTTTTTTGTTTTTTTTTTTTTTTTTTTTTTTCTTTTTTTTTTTTTTTTTTTTTTTTCTTTTTTTCGTTTTTTTTTTGTTTTTTTTTTTTTTTTTTTTTTTTTTTTTTTTTTTTTTTTTTTTTTTTTTTTTTTTTTTTTTTTTTTTTTTTTTGTTTTTTTCTTTTTCAAGATCATGATTTATCGTTGGGTGGATATTTATTTTTTTAATCATCGCTGGCTTTTCCGTCCACGAATTTGATAGCTGGTTTGAGAGCTATACGCTATAAGCGGATGCAGTTAATTTTGATTTAACTTTCCGCTTAGTTTTTGTTTTTTTTTTTTTTTTTTTTTTTTTTTAAGATAATGATTTATCGTTTTTTTTTTTTTTTTATGTTTTTCCGACTTTTTTTTTCATGATAATGAATTTCTCGTTGGGTGAATATTTATTTTTTAATCATCGCGGGCTTTTTCGTCCAGAATTTGATAGCTGGTTTGAGAGCTATAACGTTCTCTACAGGATGCAGTAATTTTGAATTTAACTTTCCGCTTAGTCGTGCATAAATATCGATTGGAAGTGGTTACATGTTTTAACGTAATAGTATGATGGTTATTTTACGGTTCTAGTCATTATGTGAGGTTTGGAAAACACAGGTAGGATCAAAGTTCACAAAAGGTTGAAACAAATAACGCTTATTGCACTAGTTCAACGTAAATCATCCTTGTTTTTTTTTTTTTTGCTTTTTTTTTTTTTTTTCTTTTTTTTTTTTTTTTTTTTTTTTTTTTTTTTTTTTTTTTTTTTTTTTTTTTGTCTTTTTTTTTTCTTCTTTTTTTTTTTTTTTTTTTATTTTTTTTTTTTTTTTTTTTTTTTTTTTTTTTTTTTCTTTTTTTTTTTTTTCAAGATATGATTTATGTTGGGTGAAATTTTTTTTTTAATCATCGCTGGCTTTTTCCGTCACGAATTGATAGCTGGTTTGAGAGCTATACGCTATACAGGGATGCAGTTAATTTTGAATTTACTTTCCGCGTAGTCGTGAATATAAATATCGATTTGGAAGTTTTTCTTTTTTTTTTTTTTTCACGATAATGATTTATCGTGGTGAATATTATATTTTTTTTAATCAGTCGCTGGCTTTTTCGTCACGAATTTGATAGCTGGTTTTGAGAGCTCTACGCTATAACAGGGACTGCATTGCAGTTACTATTTGACTTTTAACTTTCCGCTTATTCGTGACTAATATCGATTGGAAGTGGTTACATGTTTTACCGTGAATAGTATGATGGTTATTTCTACGGTTCTAGTCCTTATTGCGAAGGTTTGGAAACACAGGTAGGATCAAAGTTCACAAAGGTTGAACAGATAAACCTTATGAATAGTGCAAGTAATCATGCAATTCAACACCTGATTTCCGTTTTTTCATTAATATATGAAATATTTGATTGATCAAAGTATCTGAATCTGAGTCAAAACAGAACCAGTCGGGTGTTCGGTTTTGACTCAGCCCCCGTATGTCATACCAGGAAAAATACACTCGGGTGGATATGCAGAGCACTTTTCAATATCATAAGTTCTGTAGTAATCCAGAGATTTATACGACACTTAGCATCGACTTGTTCTGTTATTTCTGTAACAGTTCCACCTTATTTTTTTTTTTTTTTATTTTTTTTTTTCTTTTATTTTTTTTTTTTTTTTTTTTTTTTTTTTTTTTTTTTTTTTTTTTTTTTTTTTTTTTTTATTTCTTTTTTTTTTTTTTATTTTTAATTTTTTTTTTTTATTTTTGTTTTTATTTTTTCCTTTCATTTTTTTTTTATTTTTTTTTTTTTTTTATTTTTTTTTTTTTTTTTTTTTTTTTTTATTTTTTTTTTTTTTTTTTTTTTTTTTTTTTTTTTTTTTTTTTTTCTTTTTTTATTTTTTTTTTTTATTTTTTTTTTTATTTATTTTTTCTTTTTTTATTTTTTTTTTTTTTTTTTTTTTTTTAATTTTTTTTTTATTTTTTTTTTTATTTTGTTCTTTTTTTTTTTTTTTTTTTTTTTTCTTTTCTTTTTTTTTTTTTTTTTTTTTTTTTATTTTTTGTTTTTTTTTTTTTTTTTTTCAATTTTTTTTTTTTTTTTGTTTTTTTTATCTTTTTCCCTTTTTTTTTTTTTTTTTTTTTTTTTTTTTTTTTTTTTTTTTTTTTATTTCTTTTTTTTTTTTTATTTCCTTTTTTTTTTTTTTTTTTTTTTTTTTTTTTGTTTTTCAAGATAATGCTTTATCGTTGGGTGAATAATTATTTTTATAATCCTCGCTGGCTTTTTCCGTTCCACGAATTTGATAGGGTTTGAGAGCTATACGCTAAACCGGGCTGCAGTTATTATGAATTTACTTTCGTTTAGTCGTGAATAAACTATCGATTGGAAGTGGTTACAATGTTCACGTATCTGTAGATGGTTATTTTACGGTTTAGTCATTATGTGACGGTTTCGGACAACACAGGTAGGATCAAGTTCACAAAAGGGTGACCAAATAATCGCTTAATGAATCTAGTTGCAAGTAATCATGCAATTCAAACACTGCTTCGTTTTCAATAATATTTGAAATATTGATTGATCAAATTATCTGATCTGCGTCAAAAACAGGACACCCGAGTCCGGTCTTTTTTTTTTTTCCTCTTTTTTTTTCTTTTTATTTTTTCAAGTAATGATATTCGTTGGGAGAATATTTATTTTTTTACTCATCGCTGGCTTTTTTCCGTCGCCACGATTTGATAGTGGTTTCGAGAGCTATACGCTATACAGGGATGCAGTAATTTTGAATTTAACCTTTCCGCTTAAGTCGTGAATAACTATCGAATGGAAGTGGTTACACATGTTTTCCCGTAAATTTTTTTTTTTTTTTTTTTTTTAAAAAAAGTATATGATGGATATTTTACGGTTCTGTCATTCTGCTGAAGGTTTGGAAAACATTTTTTTTTTTTTTTTTTTTTTCCAAGTTTTTTTTTTTTTTTCAAGTATGATTTATCGTTGGGTGAGTTATTTATTTTTTTCATCATCGCTGGCTTTTTCGTCACGAATTTGATAGCTGGTTTGAGCGCTATACGCTCTAACTTTATTTATTTTTTTTTTTTATTATTTATATTTTTTTTTATTTTTTTTTTTTTTTTTTTTTTTTTTTCCAAGATAATGATTATCGTCGGAGTGAATATTTCTTTTTTAAATCCTCGCCTGGCTTTTTCCGTTCCACGAATTAGATAGCTGGTTTGAGAGCTATACGCTATCAGGGATGCAGTTAATTTTTGAATTTAGCTTTCGCTTTATCGTTTTTTTTTTTATTTTTTATTTTTTTTTTTTTTTTTTTTTTTTTTTATTTTTTTTTTTTGTTTTTGTTGTTTTTTTTTGTTTATTTTATTTTCAAGATAATGGGATTAATCGTTGGGTGAATATTATTTTTTTCACTCATCGATGGCTTTTTCCGTCCACGAATTGGATATAGCTGGTTTGAGAGCTATACGCTATACAGGGATGCAGTTATTTTGACTTTAACATTCCGCTTAGCTCGTGGAATAATCTCGATTGGAAGTTGGTTACAATGTTTTCCCGTATTAGTTATGATGGTTATTTTACGGTTCCTAGTCCTTTATGCCTGAAGTTTGAAACACAGGTAGGATCCAAAGTTCACCAAGGTTGAACAAATAAAACGCTTTAATGGACAATAGTGCAAGATACTTCATGCATTTCAACAACCTGATTCCGTTTTAATTAATAACCGCCCCTTTTTTTTTTTTATTTTTTTTTTTTACTTTTTTTTTTTTTTTTTTTTTTTTTTTTTTTTTTTTTTTTTTTTTTTTTATTTTTTTTTTTTTTTTATTTTATTTTTTTTTTTTTTTTCTTATTTTTTTTTTTTTTTTTTTTTTTTTTTTTTTTTTTTTTTTTTTTTTTTTTTTTTTTTTTCAAGATATGTTTTTCGTTGGTGTGAAAATTATTTTTTAATCATCGCTGCTTTTCCGTCCACGAACTTTGCTAGCGGTTTGAGAGCTAACGCTTTACCAGGGATGCAGTTAATTATTGAATTTACTTCGCTTAGTCGTGAATAAAATATCGTTTGGAAGTGGTTACATGTTATACCGTAACTGTATGATGGATTATTTACGGTTCTAGTATTAAGTGAGGTTTGGAAACCAGGT